CAGGCAATCCACTCACCTCAGCCTCCCAAAGGCGCAGGATTACAGGCTGAGCCACTGAGCCCGGTTTATAACATTTATTTCTATGGCTACTTATTTATTTGAGGTAGAAGAATCCATGTTAGGAGCTGCTGAGATTTTCTGTTATTTATTTCTCCTGGCCTCAGCTGCTTGGTTGTTCCTAGGGCTTAAAATATATATACTTTACCTAGGGATATGAGGAGTAAAAACCACCAAGAAGATAAACTATGGTAAAGCCTAGCTCTGCTATTACAAACTTAGGTTTTCTAATTAATTTCCTTCAGAAATAATTTGCTGACATGAAGGTAATTTTTTTGTAGGTTATTACCTTCTTTGGCACAATCCACCGCCACTCATCCCAGGTCCTAAAGGGTCACTTTCCCCATGGTATTCTAAAAACCCTTGTTAACGTTATCATTTAGCATCTATGTAATCCCTCGCTCTTCTAACAGTGCTTCAGGCCCCAGCAGCCATTAGCATCATCTAGAAGCTTGTTAAAATGCAGAGTACGGGTCTACCTTGTATCTGCTGAATCAGAGCCTGCATTTCAGTAGTGTTCAGGTAATCCATATGCATAGTAAAGCACTGCTATAATCCCTGCTAGAAGGAATGACCAAAATTTCCCTTCAAGTGTAAACTTCTCATCTCTCAAGGGATTTTTCTCAGATTGGGTAGCAAGCATGGAGAAAAGAGTCAACACTGGATTTCCCAAAATCACACTGTTGATCTAGAAAAGGGAGACTTTGTGGGCAAGTCTCTTTATTTCTTTGTGAAAAGACATTCAAATTCAAGAGCAGGAATGCTGTTTTTGAAGTCCTGGGCTGGTCAACTGTTGCTATGAGTAAAAGACACCCCAGTAATATACAGCTGTGTAAAAGTAACACTCTGACATCTGCTGAACATCTAAACCTGAGTATATGACAGGCAATTACAATTACACATTATCTGATTTCAATGATCATGTAGCACTGCTCACCTTTCAAAGTACTTTTCACGTTAGAACATTTCCTCTTACACAAGTGCGACTTAGCAATTTTTCACATACTTATTAAAAACATACAGATCCAACAATCCCACTACTGGGTAAATATCCAAAGGAAATAAAAGCATTATGTTGAAGAGACATCTGCATTCCCATGATCACTGCAGCATTATTCACAGGAGCCAAAAGACATCTACATGTCCATCAATGAAATAATGGATAAAGAAAAGGCAGCATTATATACATACGATGGAATACTCTTCAGCCTGAAAAGAGGAAATCTGTCACTGAGGACAACTTGGATGAAACTGGAGGATGTTATAAATGAAATAAGCCAGGCACAGAAAAGTTTTTATAAAAGTCAAACTCAAAGAAGCAGACAGCAGAAGAATGGCTACCAGGGGCCAAGGGGGTGTGGGGCAGACGGCAGACAGCAGATGGTGGTCAAAGTCAAAGGACGTGCAACATCAGTGAGACGAGAGTAATGACTTCTGGATACCTACTGCACACCACGGTGACCACAGTTAGTAACAAAATATTGTATATTTGGAAATTGCTAGGAGAGTCAACTTTCAGTGTTTTCACCAAAAAAGTTAAGAAGGCAATGCGTATGTTACATAGCTTGACTCAGCCATTCCCCAGTGTGTACACATATCAAAACTTCATGTGACTGGCAGTAGTGGGAAACTGCCCGGGAGGGATGGGGAGTGCGGGGAAGGCAAGCCCCGTCAACAAGGGCAACTGCGTCATGAACATTTGTGTACTGGTATACCTAACCCTGAACTGCACCCCACATAAGCAAAATAAAATATTTAAAAAACCTTCATGTTGTATACCATAAATATGTACAATTTTTATCTGCCAATTAAAAAAATTAATTACAAACACACATATTGCGATCTTACACTATAATTTTTAGGAAAAGTTAACATTTTGCTCAACACTAACATGGACTTGAACAAATTACCTTGAGTTCATGAAGCTTATCCAAATAGACTTGTTTAGGCTGGTCCTCTCCTTCTTCATAAAGCCAATTTTCTGTGTCTTCCAATATTGCAGACAATTTATTCAAGTCCTATACATTTAAGAGGCACTAATTAGAAATGCTTTCCAGCCGGGCTTGGTGGCTCAGCCTGTAATCCCGCGCCTTTGGGAGGCTGAGTTGAGTGGATTGCCTGAGCCCGCGGGTTCGAGACTCGCCTGGGTAGCGAGACCTCATCTCTACAATAAATCAAAAAATCAGCCGGGCGTGATAGCGCATGCCTGTAATTCCGGCTACTCGGAAGGCTGAGGCGGAAGGATCGCTGGAGCCCAGCAGGCGAGGCTGCGGTGGCCAGGAGCGGCCACTGCACTCCAGTCTGGGCAACCGAGTGAGACTCCAACTCAAAAAAACAGAGAAATGCTTTCCTTGGAAAGTCATCAAGGAAGGACAATGGTTTCCAAGTATAAAATACTAAATTTCAGATTTTTCTGACTTCTTATTCATAAACAGGTTTTTCTCCATACTCCCGTGATTTGGAAAAATAACTATGAATCATCTCCGAGATTGATGATAATCAATTTCGTATACTTATTTGCATAATTTGTACTCACATTTTCAAGCGAACATTTAATTAGTTATAAGAAACAGTGATACAACTCTGACTTACTTCGGGTGTGATGAATCTTTCGTAGACAGTGCCCAGCTTGTCTCTGAAGTCATACACATACTCTTCAACAGCGTTCTTGGCATCATTTCTTTCCTTCTCTAACTTATCTTGCATAATCATCTTTCCCTGTTCAAAAAGCTTCAGATTAGTTGCCATCATATTCATAGTAAAACACAAACCCAAATCCCACTGAGGTGCCTCTTCATAATCCCTAGGATGATCACAATAAAAATAGAAAGAATTCACAAGCTTGTGGAGAAACCAAAACCCCTGGACATTACTAGTGAGAATGTGAACCATTGCAGCCACTTGGAACAGCCTGGCGGTTCCTCAGAAAGCAAAGCACAGAACTGCAATTTCACTCCTAGGTATTCATACAATGAAACCAAAAGCAGGGTCTCAAACAGATACATGAATGCACAGATATACTCACTGTGGCATCATTCATGACAGCCAAAACAAAAAACAAAAACAAAAAAACCCCAAGTGTGTAGTAACAGATCAACAAAATGTATATAAACACAATGTAATATTTAGTTTTAAAAAGGAATGAAGTTCTGATACACGCTAAAAAATGGGTGAACTTTGAAGTCATTATGCCAAGTAAAATAAACCAGGCACAAAATGACTAGTATGGTATAATCCCACTTCTGTAATCTAGACTAGGCAATTCATACAGAAAGAAAGTAGATTAGCATTTACTGGGAACTAGAAGAAGAGAGGAATGATAAGTTGTTACAGAGTTTCTGTTTGGGGAAGTGAAAAAGTTTTGGAAATAGGTGATTGGTGTGCAACACTGTAAATGTAATTAAAGTCACTGAACTGTACATTTGAAAGAGTTAAAATGGCAATTTCATATTATATATATATTTACTAGCTTAAAAAAATTAATGTAACATAGCAAAACCCACTGAAATATGTACTTTAGTTAATTAATTAATTAATTTATTTTTGAATGGAGTCTCACTCTGTCACTCAGACTGGAGTGCAGTGGCCGCTCCCGGCCACCGCAGCCTCGACTTGCTGGGCTCTGGCGATCCTTCTGCCTCAGCCTTCCGAGTAGCTGGAACTACAGGGGCGCGCTACCACGCCCGGCTGATTTTTTATTTATTGTAGAGATGAGGTCTCACCAAGCTGCCCAGGCGGGTCTCGAACCCGCGGGCTCAGGCAATCCACTCACCTCGGCCTCCCAAAGTGCTGGGATTACTGACTGAGCCACCGAGCCAGGCCTATCAATTTTTTTTTTGAGTTGGAAATTCACTCTGTCGCCCAGACTGGAGTGCAGTGGCAGCCTCGACCTGCTGGGCTCCAACGATCCTTCCGCCTTAGCCTTCCAAGAAGCTAGAACTACGGGTGCACGCTACCATGCCTGGCTAATTTTTTGATTTATTGTAGAGATGAGGTCTCGCCAAATTGCCTAGGCGAGTCTCGAACCCACGGGCTCAGGTAATCCACTCACCTCAGCCTCCCAAAGCAGTGGGATTACAGGCTGAGCCACTGAGCCCAGCTGAATTATGTACTTTTTAAACGGGTGACTACACAGCATATAAATTGTATCTCAATAAAGCTGTTAAAAACAAAACATAGCCTATGTTTCAACCAACATATTCTGGTTGAAATTCTGGGTTCCCCATTTACTAGCTTAATATAGTCAGAAAATCACCTGAGTTTTCTTTTGCCAAAACAGAGCCTAATTCTATTTCTCCACGGGCTGTTAATAAGATGAACATAATGCTTGTAAGATATTTAGTGCAGTGCCTGGCACACAACGGGTGCCGGGAACAGAGTCTAGTGGTTGTGATGCTGAGCTCTGGAGACCAAACACCTGGATCCAAGTCCTAAGGTGATCCTGAGTGACTCAGGCGACTCGACCCTACATTTCCCATCTGTAAAATGCACATCTCTAAGAGAACCTTTACTTCATAGGTTTGTGTTGAGGATCAAAACAAGATATAAAGTATTTAAAGATATTACCAAAAATTATCATCATAATCAAAAGCAAAGAAATAAAGAATCTGAAGATTGTAACACTTGAACAAAATTTTTACTTTACTAATGAAAAACTGGCATTTTCGGCCGGGCTCGGTGGCTCAGCCTGTAATCCCAGCACTTTGGGAGGCTGAGACAAGAGGACTGCCTGAGCCCAGGGGTTTCGAGACCAGCCTGGGCAACATGGTAAGACCTCGTCTCTACCATAAAATGAAAAAAATTGCCGAGTGTGGTAGCATGTGCCTGTAGTTCCAGCTACTTGAAAGGTTGAGGTGGAAGGATTGCCAGGGTGGCCATCAGCACGCCACTGCACTCCAGTCTGGGTGACAGAGTGAGATTCTAACTCAAAAAAAAAGTATTTTCAGCATAAGAATTCCTTTGTAAACTACAACGTATTGATACCTGTGTGAATTTAAAATAGGGAGACATTCAAAAATGTTTACAAGTTGCATTTGTCCACAAAGTCTGCCTTAACTGAATTCGTCTCAAGACAGACAAACTGTGAACGAGTCGAGACGTCCGGGAGTGCCTGTTCCGCATAAAATGTCACCTTCAACGAATAATGAATCGGTAGGGGAGGTGAGTCGCACCAAACCCAAGCACCGTAGCGCCAAAACCTCTTGGTACAACAACGTACAGCAGATGGTAGAATACAGGGCATTTCAAAGAAGACTGACCGCCTGTAACGCCAGCCAAGCTTGTAGAAATGAGAAGCCACCATTTAGATGTAAATTTTAAAAACAAAAATGATTTTTTACATAGCTACTGGTAAAGAGACAAAACTCATTTCCTCCAAAGACCGTAAAATTAAACAGGGAAACACATTAGAATGTGTAAGAAATGGTAAGAACGGCAACAGATTCAAAAAGTATTTAATGGAGGTAAGAAAACATTTTGAACAGAAACTAAACCTTTAAGGACAACACTCTGGAATAGGAGAGCTGTACCATTTCCCCATATGACATCCGCTGGGTGTGGCTGTTAAGGACAGAATAAAAGGGGGTAAGAAATGTTAGCTCAGAATTAAATCTTGTCCCATAAAGGAGACAATCCATGTTTTGTTTCTGAGTTGGGGGTCTTACTCTGTTGCCCAGTCAAGCAATTCTCTCACCTTAGCCCCCAGAGCTGCCGGGACTACAGGCAGGTGCCACCATGTCTGGCTAGTTTTGACAATTTATTTGTAGGGAAGGGGTATGGTTATGTTGCCCAGGCTGGTCTCAAACTTTCTGGTCTGAAGTTATCTTACCATTTTGGCCTCTCAAAGTGCTGGGATTATAGGTGTGAGCCACTGTGTCTGACCAACAATCCATGCTTTTCTTATAATTAAGATGAAAATGACACAGTATACATGACATTAATGTGGCTCAGTACTTTATAAGAAATAAAGCAGTTCAATAATCTACTTAATATAATTCTTTGGGGGTTATGAACTAATTCCCCAAATTTTGAAGACAATCATTGATTTGTACAAAATTTCAAAGCAGAGTAGCACCTAATTCAGTATCATCTCAGATTTATATACCTCATTTTCAATGTAGCTGTTGAGAAGATCTTGGCCCAATTGTCTACACAGGTTACTCTGGATAGGCAGATCAATACTCTTGACTTTTCCTTTTCTAACAGTCTGATTTAATCGGTCTTGTTTTTCTGAGGGAGCTGACTGTAAAAGAAATGCAAAAGAGAAGTGTAAATTTCTAAAATTAGCTTAAAAACAGATTTAACAGGTGAAACAGAAAAGTTAAATCAAAACTATTACTATCTACTCTATTTAGTTAAAAATACTACCTTAATACTGATAGTAATTTAAATTGTATATGCTAAATCCTAGTTTGTACACTAAAAACATTGGGTTGGAAATGCAAATCAAACCTGGATGAATTGCTACTTTATACCATGATGGTGATTAAAAAAAAGTGGAAAATAAAGTACAAAATAACAAGTATTGACAAGGATGTGGGGAAACTGGAACCCTCACTGTAATCCTGGCAAGACTAAAAAATGTTGCTGTCATTCTGGAAAACAGTTGCAAGGTTCCTCAAAATATTAAACATAGTGACACCATATGACCCAGCGACCCCATTCCTACATATGTGCTCAAGAAAAATGAAAATACACACACCTCAAAAAGTGTGTGTGATTGTTCATAACAGCTTCATTCATAATAGTAAAAAAGTGAAAACAACCTGAATGTTCATCAACTGGTGAACAGATGAAATATGGTACGTATTCATACAACACAATATTATTTGACCATAAAGAGAAATGAAATGCTGATATATCCCACGACTTGCGTGAACCCTGAAAACACCATGTTTAGTGAAAGAAGCCAGTCACAAAAGGACCACATACTGTGTATCTGTAGTTACACAAAATGACCAGAATAGGCAAATCTATAGAAACAGAAGAAGGTCTACTAGTGGTTTCCTAGGGCTCTCCAGGGAAAGGCTCGATGGGAAATTGGGAGTTATTGCTAACAGGTACAGGGATTCTTTTCAGGGTAATGAAATTGTTCTAAAATTGTGATGATGGTTGCATAACTCTGAATATACTAAGAAATACTGAACCGAACCTTGAATGGGTGAACTGCATGATATGTAAACTATACTTCAATAAAGCTGTTCAACAATTAAAATTTTAAGAACTCTGTAAAATACAAAATTTAGAAAAACAGGTTTCAGTTTTTAAATACATCTAAAATTTAAAACTAAATCTTCATAAACTCTGAGAAAAAAATCTATTGAAAATGATAACTTAGAGCCGTAACGATATTCATCCGAGTGAGTGGGGCAGGGTCTCTTTCTCTTTTATTGGTAATTACTATCTTACTAAAATAATTACTCTCAATATAATCATTTGTCCCTTAAAAATTTATTTTGAAGGGCAGGCTTGGTGGCTCAAGCCTGTAATCCCAGCATTTTGAGAGGTTGAGGCGAGAGGACTGCCTGAGCCCAGGGGTTTGAGACCAGCCTGCGCAAGACTGACAAGACCTCGTCTCTACAATAAATCAAAAAATTAGCCAGGCATGGTAGTGCATGCCTGTAGTTCCAGCTACTTGGAAGGCTGGGGTGGAAGGATAGCCTGGGCCCAGCAGTTCGACACTGGGGTGGTTGTGAGCATGCCACTGCACTCCAGCCTGGGAGACAGAGTGAGACTCCAATTTAAAAAAAATTTTACTTTGGAAAATAGTTATTTTTTATTTTTTTTTTGAGTTGGAGTCTCACTCTGTCGCGGGCTCAGGCAATCCACTCACCTCAGCCTCCCAAAGGCGCGGGATTACAGGCTGAGCCACCAAGCCCGGCTGGAAAATAGTTATTTTTGCACATAGAAAAATATTTTGTGATATGCAACAAAATGCTTGGAGTGGCTAATTCTGAAATACAGGGCACTGCTATGCTAATTTACGTTTTTTAATGAGAAAATGTTAATGAAAATGTAATTTTTCCTACCAAACAGATAATCTTACTTATATTATTAGGGCTCATTCTTAGTTAGAGGAATTTTTTTTTTATTTTTTGAGTTGGAGTCTCACTCTGTCACCTAGGCTGGAGTGCAGTGGCACACTCACCGCCATCCCAGCAGTGACCTGATGGGCTCCGGCAATTCCACCTCAGCCTTTCAAGTAGCTGGAACTACAGGTACAAGCTACCACGCCTGACTAATTTTTTTGCTATTGTAGAGACAAGGTCTCACCAAGTTGCCCGAGCTGGTCTCGAACCCGTGGGCTCAGGCATCCACTTGCCTCGGCCTCCACAGTGCTGGGATTACAGGCTGAGCACCTGAGCCTAGCCATGGCTCATTCTTAGGAAAGTACATAAAAACGGTATAATAAATCACTAAAATGTATTTTGACCACAAACTTTCTATGCTGTCCTACAGTACTAGATTAAAAATATCATCCAGTGCATTAAGAGCAAAGATTACAAAGCAAATATACTAATTCAAAAATATCAATCTCAGAAAGACACAATTTATAGAAATAGCCAACTAAACCTTTGTTTTGGCTCCTGTATGGTCAATTTCCTCTTCTGGGGTATGTTCAGCGTGACTTTTTTGATGACCTCCTTCTTCTTGGTCGACCTGCATTTTATCCTGAAAATTAAGTATAAATTTAAGATAATATGCAGTATCTTTTTAAAAAATATATAAATTTAGAGTTCAAACCTGTTTTGAAATGTGTGAACATAGTAAAGCAGAAGCTTGTTTTTCAATTGAGAATAACTACAAATAACAAAAAGATTAATAGGAAAGTAAAGTAAAAAGATCTACTTGATGCTGTGTGAAAAAACTTGACTTATGATTAATTGCAAAATACATACAAATTGTTCGCAGTCAAATTTACAAAAGCAAGCTCACCAAAAAAGAGAGCATTCAACCAGACATAAAAAATGTTTATATGGCAGGGCGCCGAGGCTCAAGCATGTAATAATCCCAGCACTTAGGGAGGCTGAGGCAAGAGGACTGCCTGAGCCATGGATTCGAGAACAGCCTGGGCAACATGTTGAGACCTTGTCTCTACAATAAGTCAAAAAATTAGCTGGGCGTGGTAGCGTGTGCTGTAGTTCCAGCTGCTTAAAAGGCTGAGGAAGAAGGATCACCTGAGCCCGGCAGGTTGATGCTGGGGTGGCTGGGAGTGTGCCACTGCGCTCCAGCCTGGATGACAGAGTGAGACTCCAACTCAAAAAAAACCAAAAAACAAAAACCCAAAAAACAACAGAAAAAGTTTATAAACAACTCAACATGGGAAAAAGTAACAATGATATAAAGTGTATGTATTATACAAATTCAATAATATATGTTTATTTTTTATCTTATTTTATGTATTTATTTTTTTGAGTTGGAGTCTCACCTAATCGCCCAGACTGGAGTGCAGGGACACAACACGGCCACCGCAGCCTCGACCTGATTGACTCAGCGGTCCTTCTGCCTCAGTCTTCCAAGGAGCTGGAATTACAGGCGCCCACTACCACGCCCAGCTAATTTTTTTGATTTCTTATAGACATGAAGCCTGGCCAAGTTGCCCAGGAGGGTTCGAGACCCGGCTCAGGCAATCCACGCGCCTCAGCCTCCCAAAGCGCGGGATTACAGGTTGAGCCACCGATTACAGGTTGGCTTGATTGTGCTTTTATCTCACCAGGAGTCAGCAGGCTGTTTTCAAACAACCAGGACTCCGTCTTTTCATTCTTTGAATGGTCCTTAAGTGGTCTGTTGACTAAAATACAAAGAGGCTGCAACTGCTTGGCACCATTAGAAGTAACTACCAAGTTGTCCCAGTCACGGGTGATGAGACGGGTCTTGCATGGTCAGCAGTGAATGTAAGACATCGTCATTCCCAAGCCCCATCCCATTCAATCACATTTAAAGTGGAAAACTGTACACTTTACACTGATACAAAATGGTAATAATTTGTTAATCCCTTAAAATTCTTTTTAAAAATGTTCATACGAATATTATCACTAGTAAAGTAATTAATGAAAGTGCCTACAGACTCTCTAAAATCCACGAGAGTTAAAACCACTCTTCTATTTGCTATTATAACCAAACACACATTCTAGGCGCTTACAGTTCTTTGCTGAATGAATAAAAATCACATAAGAATAAAATTCGAATCACTGTCAGGCTTCGCCTGATTTGTCCTGTGATCCGTCTTTCAACTTCCTACCCCTAAAGTGCCCTTTTCATCTTTCAGGCTAGCTTACCTATTCCTTCCTGGCTGGCTTTCCTCGTCACCATTATATAGTTACTAATTTCTATACCGTCTTTCTTCTAAATTCAACCACTGCCCTTTAAAAAAAATTCAGCTACCACCCTTTAAAGTACTTCATTTAAGGACCATGCTTTTCTCCCCCCAACCTTCCCATGTATCATTTTGCCATCACCTCTCACTTATTTGAATTGAGGAGGAAGAAATGTCCTTATCTGTCAGTGAAGATACAGTTTTTTCTAAATCATTATAAGGATAATTGATGAAAAGTTAAAAATGTTAAATTACAATTCTAGTAACTAACAAGAGGAGACTTAAAAAACCCTAATTTATTTACAAAAATTGTGCATTTATTCTTACATGTTTAAACTTCAGTCACCTTCAAAGTACTCTCCATTCAATGCAATACACCTATGGAGATGCTTTTCCTGCTACTCAAAACAGTTTTTTAATGCGTTCATTTTGATGTTTTAGAGCCATTTTTTGCATCACCTCTTTCTCATCAGCGAAAGGCATCCCCCCCTCCTTTCAGGGCTTTTTTCATCCCAGGAAACAAAAAAACCAAGTCACGTGAGGGGAGATCAGGTGAATAGGGAGGGTGGGGCATGGCGGTCATGGTGTTTTAAACCGCTGAACATTTAGCGAGGTGTGGGCAGATGCATTAAGAACCAGTCACCTGTTTGCTACAACTTGGGACATTTCTCCTGCAAATGTCAAACTGTGATGCAATTGTCTCAAAACTTTCAGATAAAAACTTTGGTTGACCGTTTGAGCTGGAAGAACGAATTCTGAGAGTACTTGTACTACAAAAGGGGCCATCCTCCAAAAAAGATAACTGTTTTTTTTTTAGGGTCACCCCTCATATGTCAAACATGTACATTTAATCTATTAAGATTTATTTGCACTAAAATTGAGAGTACTTTGTATGCCTTTTAGGACCAGTTGCTCATAACTATTCATTTTCTTCACTTTCTTTTTTTTTTTTTTTTTTTTTGAGTTGGAATATCACTCTGTCACCCAGGTTGCAGGGCAGTGGCATGCTACCGTCCACTGCAGCCTTAACCTGTTGGGCTCGGGCAATCCTTCTGCCTCAGTCTTCCAAGTAGCTGGAACTACAGGCATGCACCACCACGCCCAGCTAATGTTTCTTGATTTACTGTAAAGATGAGGTCTTGCCAAGTTGCCCAGGTTGGTCTTGAACCCACGGGCTCAGGCAATCCTCTCATCTCGGCCTCTCAAAGTGCTGGGATTATGGGCGTGAGCTACCACGCCAGGCCTCTTTTTAAAATTTTTTTATTTTTTAAGTTTCTCTGTACCTAACTGGTACAAAGTGCACCGGTGGGGGTGACTAGTGCACTTAAAGTCCAGACTTCACCACTATACAATGCATCCACTTAACCAAAAACCATGTGCACCCCTCTCTAAAGCTACTGAAAAAAGAAAACAGAAGCCACGCAAAAGGCAGAAAAAAAAACAAACCTACAGATTCAATACTTGATAAAGGAACGATAGCCACAATTTCTAAAGACTCCTAAAAAAACACATATACACACACAACAATGCAATTAAAATAAGATAAACAAATGGCAAAGCAGCACACGACATTAGTCATTAGGGAAATGCAAGTTACAAATACGATGAGTTACAGCAATACAGCTGTTAAAATGACTAAAAGTTAAAAGCCTGACCATGCTCATACCAAGTATCCACAACAATGTGGAGAAACTGAGATTCTCATACTCTGCTGGCGGAAATGTAAAACCATACCTTGCAAAGTACTTGGAAGATAATTTAACAGTTTCTTAAAATGTCAAACAGATACCTACCCTATGATCTGGTCATTTACTCAAGAAATAAAAGCATATGTTGATTAAAAAAAGACTCATAGATGAATGCTTTTAGCGAATTTATTTTTAATAACCCCACACTGAAAACAAGCCTCGACTCTATCAACATGTGGATGGGCAACTCAACTGTGGTATAGCCATACAATGGGAACACCACTCAGTATTAAAACAGAATAAACTACAGATATCCAAAACCATGGATGAATCTCAAAATAATTATGCTGTGAAAGAAATTTTTTTAAAAAGCACTTATGTATATATAATTCAATTTATACAAAAGCCTAGAAAGTGTAAACCAAATATATTAGCTTTCGGGCTGCCATAACCAAGTACAATGGACGGAGTGGTTTAAACCACCACCACCACTACACACACCCACACCCACTCCTACCACCCACACACACATGCACACACTCATATATTCGGGCACGCGAACACACCCACACCTGCACATGCACACACCCCACACGCACGCACACACAAAATGCCAGGGAAGAACAAGACAGGTAGCATGCTGTTCTTGTTTAACTTTCAGTTCACAGTATTCAACGTTATATAGGGAAAACTAAAGATCTCAGAAGAGATATCTTTAAAAAAAGGTGAAGAAAATGAATGGTTATGAACAACTGGACCTAAAAGGCATACATAAAGTGCTCTCAGTTTTAGTAAAAATGGATTCGATTTATATTATCTGGCATAAGTTACTATGAACTGTATACAAAAATTAACTTTTCACCAATTATCATTATGATAATTTATGAAAACCTGATTGTATCTTCACTAACAGATAAGGACATTTCTTCCTCCTCAAGTCAAATAAGGAAGATGTGGTAGCAAAGTGATACATGGGAAGACTGAAAAAAAAAAAAGCCATGGTCCTCAAACGAAGTGCTTTCAGGGGTAGTGGCTGAATCTGTTAAGACAGATGCTGGCTAGGCTCAATAGCTCAGCCTGTAATCCCAGCACTTTGGGAGTTCGAGGCGGGTGGACTGCCTGAGCCCCCAGGGTTTGAGACTAGCCCCGATAACTTGGCAAGACCCCATCACTAAAATAAATAAAAAATTAGCTGGGCGTGGTAGTACTTGGAAGGCTGAGGCAGAAGGATCGCCAGAGCCCAGAGGGTTGATGCTGGGTGGCCATGTGCGTGCTACTGCACTCCAGCCTGGGTGACGGAGTGAGATGACAACCAAAAAAAAAAAAAAGACAGCAGCTGGATTTAGAAGACCATATAAGTAATTATACCAAAAATAAACAAAAAAATTATGGCCAGGCGCGATGGCTCATGCCTATAATTCCAGCACTTTGGGAGGCCAAGGTGAGAGTATTGTCTGAGTCCACGGGTTTGAGACCTGCCTGGGTAACTTGGTGAGACCTCATCTCTACAATAAATCAAAAAAATTAGCTGGGCATGGTGGCGTGTGCCTGTAGTTCCAGCTACTTGGAAGGCTGAGGTGGAAGGATCCCAAACCTAGCAGGTCAAGGTGGCGGTGGCCATGAGTGTGCCACTGCACTCCAGCCTGGGTGACAGAGTGAGACTCTAACTCAAAACAAACAAAAACCAAAAAAATTTTAAAAATTAAAAAAAAAAAACAACCTTCAAAAAAGGGGGCAACTATCTTGAAATAGAAAAAAAGAAAACCCAGTCTATGCATAAGACAAGTCTAGGGCAGCTCAGCAATTATAACTAGGAAAAAACCTTAACAGATGCCACTGAAAATCATACACAAAAGGAACGTACAATGAGTACACATACAAAGAGGAAAACTGTATAATGGCCTATACTCAAGTGCCTCTGAGATGCCTTCATCTGCCTCGCACATCAAGAGCAAACTCAGGGTCACATAACTGCTTCATAAAGAAACACTTAAAAACCTATATCATAGCCGGGCTCGGTGGCTCAGCCTGTAATCCCGTGCCTTTGGGAGGCTGAGGTGAGTGGATGGCCTGAGCCCGCGGGTTCGAGACCCGCCTGGGCAGCGAGACCTCATCTCTACATAAATCAAAAAATCAGCCGGGCGTGGTAGCACATGCCTGTAATTCCGGCTACTCGGAAGGCTGAGGCGGGAGGATCGCCGGAGCCCGGCGGGTCGAGGCTGCGGTGGCTGGGAGCGGCCACTGCACTGCAGTCTGGGCGACCGAGTGAGACTCCAACTCAAAAAAAAAAAAACACAAAAAAAACACCTATATTATAAAATGTTGCTGAACGCCCAGCATACTCCTCTCGATGTCCTGACTAAACCCTGAAAAACTATTTATTAAGCACATATTTTCAATCTAAAACATACATATATGACAGCTCAAAACTTATCAATCATCCTCAATTGGTTTTATCTGTAAGCTCAAAATCCAGCCACAACAAAACACATGCTTTTAATGCAAAATAAGAACGTAGGAAAGACAACTCCAAACTCACACCTTCCACATGAAGCTGCGGAAGCTGCATGAGCCATGTAGTGTTTGTCATGATGTGAAGGGTGTGAGCACTCGAGTCGGAATAGTTCTTTATTGCTCTTATTAAAAAGGTTGACTCTACCAGGCTCCGTGGCTCAGTCTGTCATCCCAGCACTTTGGGAGGCTGAGGCGAAGGGATTGCCTGAGCCTGAGGGTTCGAGACCCGCCAGGGCAACTTGGCGAGACCGCGTCTCTACAATAAATCAAAAATTAGCCAGGCACGGTAGTGCGCACCTGTAGTTCTGGCTACTCAGAAGGCTGAGGCGGAAGGATCGCCAGAGCCCAGCAGGTCAAGGCTGCAGTGGCCAGAAGCGTGCCACGGTACTCCAGCCTGGGTGACAGAGTGAGACTCCAACTCAAAAAAAAAAAAAGGTTGACTCTGACTCTTACAGTAGAAATTCAAAGCAAAAGCTCAGAGTTTACTGTATTTAACGAGTCAAGTCCCAGTTATAAGACACACAGTGTACATCATCTCATGGGGGAACACTGGGATAGGCTTTCTGCATACCACATCATCTTTGTTTTCATTCTTTGGTGAAGCTTCTGTCTCCATAGCTGCATCAACGTGATCGCCTTCCAAGTTCTGCTTCTCAATTACTGATGCACTAGCTACACTGAAGATTCCATGGATGTTTACACGGACTTTAACCTTCACTTTGGAACTATCACCATCAGACTGTGGAAAAACATTCTGAATAGTGAAGCTCCCTTCAGGGAAAAAAGAGCTTAGATCAGTACATGCAGCTCAGACGAACTCATTCATTTCACTTATTCAACCATTGGGCTATCATCTCTAAGATGCTGGCAAATAACCATAAGATTGTGATGCCAGCCTGATTAATTACTCTAGGGCAGTCACTTGCCCCGTATTATCCCTTTTATACCATAACAAACCTGAAATTAAGCCTTAGAAAGGTCAAGTAACCTGCTCAAACCATCAATGTTAAGAAAAAAGGAGAGTCAAGATTTTAACAGAAGACAATTTGGTTCAAAGGCAGTTACTTTTAAGTATTTCACAGTATTGTCATACTCTAAAATCAAAATAACAAAATTCAATATCTAATACTGAAAACAAAATAGACACTGGCTTTTTTTTTTTTGCTATAAACTTTACAATCAAAATCATTTTGGTAATTCATAAATAAAGCAATTTTTAAAAACTGGGTTTTTCCTGTAGCAAAACCACTGAGATATACAGTGTATCACTAATACATGCAGAGAAACCAACCTTTCACTTTCAGAAATCTACTAACATCTTAAGGCTGGGTGCAGTGGCTCTTGCCTATAATCCCAGCACTTTGGGAGGCTGAGGCAGGACTATTACTTGAGATCCGGAGGTCAAGACCAGCCTAGGCAACAAAGTGAGACCTCGTCGCTACAAAAAATAAAAAATGTATCTGGGCATGGTGGAGTGCATCTGTAGTCTCAGCTACTGGGGACTGCCTGGGCCCAGGAGGTTGTGGCTGCGGTAGCCTGGGCGACAGACTTAAAACACACACGAATGTTTCATTTCTCCGGAGAGATCACACTTATATGATGACACCCATAGCCGAAGACGAGAGAATGCTAGGCAGAAAGGCTGAGCGTCACAACACTGGGCTGGCCTTTTCCTTTTGTACGGGCTGGACTGTGTCCTCCTCAATTCATGTGCTGAGACCCTACCTCTCCCCCCACCTGGCACCTCAGAATGTGACTGTGTTTGGAGACACCTTGATGGTGAGCTTCCAGCCTACAGAACTGAGATGATACATCTCTCCTGTTTAAGCCACCTAGCTTGTGGTCCTTTGTGACAGAAGCCCTGGCAAACTCATACATCTTTCAATAACTTTTACTGCTTTAAACAATACACTTGAAACATTTACAGGTATGCTGTCTCCTTTTTAGTCTATCAATAAAGCAGTCTGTAGCCAGGCGTGGTGGCATGTGCTTGCAGTGCCAGCTATTTGGAAGGTTGAGCTCCGTGGAAGGATCGTCTGAGCCCAGCAGGTCAAGGCTGCGGTGGGCGTGAACGTGCCACTGCACTCCAGCCTGGGTGACTGAGTGAGACTCCAATTCAAAAAGCAAAACAAAACAACAAAAAATAAATAAAGCAGTCCGTATATGGTCATTTAAACGTTATAAAATCATTTTTTATCTCTCCTGAAAAGTTGACTCAGATAAAATGGATATTAGTCCATTCCTCTCTCACTTTCACATTAATCTAGTAGGAGTCATTCTAGTTGTTGCCAGCAAACTTTAAGTTTAAAATCAGAATAGACAGTCAGTCTGGCAGCACAACTTCAATCTACTGATTAAGGAGTTTTTCCACAAAGTAACTCCCACATAAACCTTTCAGGAAATTACAAAGTATTTTAAATATACAAGTCAAAATGAATTAAAAATATCCTTGGTATCCATGGGGAGTTGGTCCCAGGACTTCCTGCGGAGGCTCAAGTCCTGTGTGTGTGTGTGTGTGTAACACCCTAGTCCCTAACCCCTAACCCTAATTTATATATACAAATTATGGGGTCTGGGGAGTTGGTCCCAGGACTTCCTGCGGAGGCTCAAGTCCTGTTTGTGTGTGTGTGTGTGTGTGTGTATAAAACCCCAGTCCCTAACCCCTAACCCTCATTTATATATACAAATTATGGGGTCTCACTATAATGCCCAGGCTGGTATTGAAGCCCTGGGTCCAAGTGATCCTCCAGACTCAGCCTCCCAAGTAGTCAAGTTCCTTATATAAAATTATATAGCATTTGCATATAACCTGCATACATCCCCCAAACACTTTAAAACATCTCTATATTATTTATGAAACCTAATACAAAGTAAATACCATGTCAGTAACTGCTATGTGTAGTAAATAATAACAAGAAAAAAGAGTATATATAGGCACTTTTCTCTAATATTTTTGATCTGTGATTGGTTAACTCCATGGATGCTGAACCCACAAATACACAGTGCCTATTGTGCTCAAATCTGTAACTATTCTAGAAATAAACTGAGCACTAAAAAGTATATGTTTAGAAAAGAGTGTAAATAGCTTTATTTAAAAATCCAGTACTGGCTTGGCTGAAATGTCAGTCTTTTTCTTAATTCTAATAAAACATTATTTTATCAATATTAACTTTATAACATTTTATAAAAATTTTTTTCTTTTGTTCTCTTACCAATTCTTGGATCAGGATAAGGCACTTCATGTAAATTAGTATAAAATGCTTCTAGTTCAAATGGCTCCTTCTTGTGGAAAGTAATGACTTTGGAGAACGGGGCAGGATGGTTCTTAGAGAACACTTCACATTCCCTGGAGTGGAGTGGGAAAAATGCTCACTTAGAAGCAAACGGAAAGCTGCCTGTGAACCTAAGTATGGAGTCAATTTCACCCTTAAGTCATAAGTAGCAATTGCAAACATCTCTACGTACAAATGTAAGAAAAACCATTGATTTTGCTATAAACATGCATTTTGATAGGTTATGGCTCTAAGTTTTCACACCTATCGTAACAGACAACTGCATACTGTTAAAAAGAGAAATTACCTGAGAATATGTATATTTTAAGGTCAGTGTGTCAGGATTACTTGCTCACATCTGAGGACCAAGTCCTACCCCATTAACTTCCAAAATACTTGCCATGTGTAACCCTTTTTATCCCAGCAACTTAGAAAACACCTTTTATTTGGAAATAATTTAAAATTACAGAAAGGTACACAATTAAACCAGGACAAAGAACACACGTATGTCCTTTACTTGGACTTGCTACTGCTAACATCTTACACCTTATGCGTCATCATCTGAGCACACTCTTGTCATCTACGAATATTTTTCCTGAACCGACTGAGGGTGATGCATACATTATGGTCCTTTACCCCCAAAGACTTCAGAGTGCATTTCCTAATAGGGACATTCTGATACTATAACCTATGACCCATTTCCAATTGTTTTCCAGTTGCTATAGTGATGTTCTTTGTAGTATTTTTTTCTTCCACTACAGGGAGTTTTAAAACCTACATAGCAATTCCTATTCCTTAAGTAGTGTAACAGAATTGTGTTTGTTTTTTTTTGAGTTGGCGTCTCACTCTGTTGCCCAGACTGGAGGGCAGTGGCCGCTTCCGGCCACTGCAGCCTCGACCTGCTGGGCTCTGGCGATCCTTCCGCCTCAGTCTTCCGAGTAGCCGGAATTACAGGCACGCGCTACGACGCCTGGCTGATTTTTTGATTTATTGTGGAGATGAGGTCTCGCTGCCCAGGCGGGTCTCAAACCCGCGGGTTCAGGCAATCCACTCACCTCAGCCTCCCAAAGGCGCGGGATTACAGGCTGAGCCACCGAGCCTGGCTCAGAATCGTTTATGACTACTGGTTACAGCGGCCCAGAAACCAATCTTTAATACTATATCGTCATATTAACCTTAATTATGCAAGGTTTGAAAATCTCAAATTCACTAACCTTTTACTCCATCCTAGTTTTCAAGAGCCTACAATACTTTCTACTTTCTTACTGTAGTTATTAGGCCATATTTACTTTTCAATTTAGCTCCCTATACGTTTTCTTACAAATTTTTTTTCTGGAATACTTACACCTTTAACTGAAATTAAGTTTTATAAAGTAATAATTCCTGCCTCAAAATTGACAATAACAGTCATTCAAATGCTCTGCAAGACATTCAAATAAGGATGACAATCCATATTTTTAGAATTTGTGAAAAAGCTTTATTTTCTTGGGGATACTGATGTACAAAACAACATTTTAAAAGGAACTTCAATAATAAATACAGCTTTATTCATTGTACACGCTATACTTCTGAAAAGCAGGCGACTAAAATATTTGAAAACAAACTCTGACACTGATAGGGAAGTAAGCTAACTCAAAATCATAGAAAAAGAAATACAACTGTTGGCAAAAACATGAAAAGACTACTTTACAGTAGTCAGAAGCATAACTTAGTAATAGCACGTTTTTAAAACTATCAGCATGTTAAGTCTAAAAGTACAGGAAAAATGAGCTAAGACAGATAATATCATGAAGATTAATAGGAATGTAAATTGATACTGTCTTGTTAGCAAATAACTTGGCATTATCATTCAAAATAATAATAATGTGCATACTTCTTGGTTCAACTCCACTCCTACAGAAAAACACTACTGATCAAGGGCATGTGTACAAAGATGTTTCCACTTTGCTTAACATAGCAAAGATATGAACTAATAGTGTATTGATTAAATTTATTATGGCACATACAACTGTAGGAAAAAATACTGTTGGCATGGAAAAATAGTACACAATATATTTTAAAAAGTAAGTTACACTAGAGATATATAGATGATCCTATGTATATTAAAAAGGTGTATGCTTTTATTTATGGATATTCAAAGAAAATGACTGGACAGATAAATGAGCTGTTAAAAATGCTTATGTCTGTAAAGTGCACTAAGGGAGTTAAGAGTATGGCAAATTCAGGTCTTTACGTTTTTACATTTCTATACTGTGATTTTCATTTGAAAATGAGCATGCTTTAACTTTTTTTTTTTTTTGAGTTGGAGTCTCACTCTGTCACCCAGAATGGAGTGCAGTGGCATGCTCATCGCCACCACACCCAAAGCAGCTGGAATTACAGGTATGTGCCACCACACCCGGCTAATTTCCCCTTTTTTTGGATTGGAGTCCCACTCTGTCACTCAGGCTGGAGTGCTGTGGCACGTGCACAGTCACTGCAGTGTTGACTTGCTGGGCTCAGACGATCCTTCTGCCTCAGCCTCCCAAGTAGATGGACTACAGGTGTCCCCAACCATGTTTGGCTTATTTTTTGATTTACTGGAGAGACACGGTCTCATCAAGTTCCCCAGGCAATCCTCTCACCTCGGCCTCCCAAAGTGCTGGGATTAAAGACTTGAGACATGACGCCCAGCTGATTTTTAAATTTATTGTAGAGGTCTTGCCATGTTGCCTAGCTGGTCCCAAACTCTTTGGCTCAGGCAATCCTCTCGTCTCCACTTCCCAAAATGCTGGGAATACAGATATGAGCCATCATGCCTGGCCACGTTTTATTTTATAAAAAATATGATTTAAAAAATATATCCATCATGGTTTGTAGGTGATATATTATTTTTACATTCTAATTTTTCTAACACTTTATTTAAAAGTATTTGACAGCACTTTAAGTATCAATTTCTCTAATTTAGAAAAGTAGGCTTAATTGGTTAAGATGGATGACAAAGTTCTAACCCAGGCTTTCAAAATAACTTACCCAGTTCCATCTTCAAAAGAGGTCTTCCATCTTAATGTGATTGAGTACGGAACAATGTCTGTTATGGAAAATTCACGCACTTTAAATGCTGGCGAGAGAATTGCACACTGAAAATAAAATGTATACCATATTTAAATCAACAAATACAAGCCATATCACCCCAGGTTACCCTGATTTAGTTGCTTTATAAAGTCCTTCTATTATAATTGTTGCATTTTAGAAGTAACTGTTTCTTTTTGGTAATGACAATTAAAAATTTAAAAGAGCCAAAGTATTCTTTCTGAAACCTTATGAAATTTAATGAGAATATTTTTAAATCTTCAAAAGGAATTTTAAATGGGCAAATTTCAAGAATTCATAAAATATATGTTCATTCAGCACAGTTACAGACATATCGTCCTATTACAGCTTAAAAATATAAACCAGATGCTGGGTACAGTGGTTCATGCCTATAATCGCAGTACTTTGGACAGGAGGAGAGAGGATTGCTTGAGTCCAGGGGTTCAAGACCAGCTTGGGCAACTTGGCAAGACCTCGTCTCTACAATAAATCAAAAAATCAGCCAGACATGGTGGCGCGTGCCTATAGTCCCAGCTACTTGGAAGGCTGAGGCAGAGGCATGGCCTATGCCCAGCAGGTCAAGATTATGATGGTCATGTTCATGCCACTGTACTCCATCCTGGGTGACAGAGTGAGACTCTGACTCAAAAAAATATAAAAATGGAAAAAAGACACAAGACTTATCTATAAGGAATAATCTCAGTTTACTTTTGAGTCTATTGACAGGTGGTTGGAACAGATAATATTTTAAACAGGTTCCTTTGAACCTGTCATCCACTGCTGGTAAAATACACATTCTAGAAAATAAAGTGAAATAGTAAGTATACCTGTAATGCACATCCTCTTGCAACAGCTTCATCAGCATTTAACGTGGTACTTATATCTTTAAGAAAGAATTTAGTGATTCGTTCCTTCACTGCAGGAATTCGTGTTGCTCCTCCCACAGTTTCTATATTACTGATGTCTTCACGTTGTAAGTCTAGAAAACAAAATATTTTTAAGTGAGAAAAATAAGAAAGTCTTTAAAAATCTGTGATCAGGGCTGGGTATGGGGTCTCACACATGTAATCCCAGCACTTTGGGAGCCCAAGGACAGAGGATTGCTTGAGTCCAGGAGTCTGGCACCAGCCTGGGCCACACAGTGAGATCCTGTCTCTACAAGATATATATATATATATATATACAAGTATATTAGCCAGGCATGGTGGCATGTGCCTTTAGTCCCAGCTACTCAGGAGGCCGAGGTGAAGGATCACCTGAGCCCAGGAGGTCAAAGCTGTGGTGAGCTGTGATTGTGTCACTGCATTCCAGCAGGGGTAAACAAGTGAGACTGACAATCAATCAATCAATATAAAAAAATCTGTGATTAGTAGGTTTGGAAAGTACTTTAAAAAAAAATGTATTTTATTTTAAAGATGTGGGGTACAATTCAGGATTAGGTACACAAGTGGTGCAAAGTACTGGGAATATACCCTGAAGAACTCAAATCACTCTATAAAAAAGATACCTGCACACGTATGTTTATTGCAGCATTATTCACAAGAGCAAGAACCTGGAACCAACCATGCTGCCCTTCAAAAGAGGACTGGATTAAAAAATGTGGTACATATACACAACGGGATACTATGCAGCCATAAAAAAAGAACAAAATCATGAACTTCGCAGCAACCTGGACGGAACTAGAGTCTATAATACTGAGTGACCTCTCACAGAAACAAAGATCTGAGTATCACATGTTCTCACTCATATAGTGGACCTTGAACATCCAATGTATTACCATAAGAAAATGACTGACAGTTGTGGGAAACTATGGGGGGAAAGGGGAAGGGAGATGGGATTAATGGTAGTAAATATCTGTCTGGGGATGGGGGGGAACACCCCTTATCAACAAGGGTGCCTGAACAACGCATATTTGTATACCTGACCCTTAACTGTACCCCACAATTTTAAAATAAAAAAAAGTTTTTAAAAAACAGTAAACTAATTTTTGATTTGCTCAAAAGAAGATAAAATGGAAAGAAGATAAGAATACAAATTTCAGAAAAAAGTGAAATTGAGTAACTATTAATTATCTGTGTGATAGGCACCCCACTCGGTTCAGATGATGGAGTGGCAACAGGAACACAAAAAACTCCAGGAGTTTTAAAGGCGTTTTTCAGTCCTTCGGTTTTCTTACTTCTACCTCCCAAATCCCTATAGAAGGCATTTTAAGTTGATTATCAAAACCCTTAAACAAAAAGCAATCATGTTGCCATTTCTACTTTAATTTCAATTTAGAATCGTCTATATAAATACCTCCAAGTAGCACTAGCCTTAGTTTTACAATGTAAACAATAAAAGAACCAGGAATAAAACCTCAGAAACCCAGATTTCTAGTGCCTCACTTTTATGAATAAAGAATAAGCTATAGTCCCACTCTCTAAAATGAGAAATACATATCTTTTTAAAAACAAAGTTTTTGGTTGGGTATGATGGCTCACGCCTATAATCCTAGCCCTTTGGGAGGCTGAGGTGGGAGGATCTCTTGAGTCCAGGAGTTCGAGACCAGCCTGGGCAACACAGCAAGACCTCATCTCTACAAAAAAAAAAAAAAAATCAGTGGTATGGTGGTGTGTGCCTACAGTTTCAGCTACTCGGGAGGCTGGTGAAGGAGGACTGTACACGCCCAGGAGGTCAAGGCTGTGGTGAGCCATAAGCAAGCCAGTGCACTCCACGGCCTGGGTGACACAGACTCTGACTTAAATAAAAATATGAAAGGTTTTATTGCTTTTACGTTTACCTACTCCCCTCAAGTGAATAACCCTATGGTTCACTTGTGATAGTCCAGTAATTTCCACTTACTGGCTTGCTCCATTACTGCTTTTAAAGGTGGCTCAACTCTGGCCAAGAGGGAAGCACATAACTGTTCAAATTGAGCCCTGTGAAAAAATAAAAAATGCATTCATTATTTTGGGATTAAAAAGTCGAGCATATCTTCTGAAATGACAAAGAAAATCAGACGTGATCTAAACATTATGAAATAAGCAAAACTATTCAAACTAAAGACACACATAGTACCTGTTCATTTTACTAGAAACATCAAGGTCGTTCATGAAACACTCAATGTTCAATGGAAGATCTGATGCATTTGCGCTCATCAGCTTCTTCAGTTTTTCACATTCCTGATATAAGCGCAGCAAGGCCCGAGAGTTTTCTTTCACGTTTATCTTATATTTGGTCTTGAACTCATCACAGAAGTAGTCTACCAAAGCCTCATCAAAGTTCCTGCCACCCAAATATGGATCAAAAGTAGTAGCCAAAACCTGTCCAATTGAAAAAGCAGAACTGAGTTTTCAGAAATATAGAGTCTTCTAGAATAAAAGAAGAAAAACTTCTACAATTGTATCTAAAAAATGAAGCTGTAGAAATTGTCCAATCATGGAGTATCAAATTTGGGACTGGAATGAAATGATCACTTATACTTAACCAACATATTTTCCTACTCTGAATTATCTGCTTTATAGATACACATCCATGTATCATAATTAAAAGAATCCTAATCCTGAAATAACTGAATTATAACTACTAAAACTTCATTATATCGCATCCTTTGGTTCTCCAACAGAACTGAATAGGTAAATCAAAAACCAAGTTTAAGAGAGCAAAGAAACAGTCCTAAATAAGAACAAAGCATTCAAGAAAAGCAGACCCGAAGATTAAACCTAAAATACTGTGATTGGTCAATTTACAGGTCAGGAATTAGGGCTTCTGTTACTAAAAAAACCCAAAACAAACAAAAAAAACAGGCCAGGCACAGTGGCTCATGCCTATAAATCCCAGTGTTTTGGGAGGTTGAGGGGTGGAGGATCGCTTGAGGCCAGGAGTTTGAGACCAGTCTGGGCAACACAGAAAACCTGTCTCTGCCAACAACAACAACAACAACAAAATTAGATGTGGTGGTGCATGTCTATGCTCCTAGCTTCTTGGGAAGCTGGGGTGGGAAGTTCACTTGAGCCCAGAAGGTGGAGGTTACAGTGAGCTATGATTGCACCACTGCACTCCGGCCTGAGTGGCAAAGTGAGACCTTGTCTATTAAATATAAACTAACAAACAAATCCCAAAACAAGCTAGTCCACTTCTACACAAATACAGAACACAAAAGCAAAAAAGAAAACAGAAACAAGTGAAAAGAGATGAAAATGTAATAAGCTTGTTGATGCACAACAGACTCCCAGCCAACAGATGAACGGAAGAGGTGGAGTCACAGAGTCAACGCTGCAGCTCTTAGACACGGGAGCAGACGTCTCACCTCCCCTCAGGTTAAGATGAGCACTGATGACACCAGTCACTAACAAAAGGAAGAATTCCACTAATGGAGTGGTTCTTTGGGGCTTTCTTTGTCAGGGGTCTGGTGAGGTGGTGGTGAACATCACAGTAGGCTGTCGAGCGCAATCTGAGTGGAATGGCGTCCCACAGACCAGCAAGGAGAACCCATGTGTAGACTTCTTGTGGAGTCCGGTATTACCCCAACTAAATCAAAATTGTCTTGGTATGTGACTAGTGCAAGTGTGCATTCTTCTGGGCAGAAAGGCTATAGCCTTTACCAGACTTTCAAAGGGGTTCACCTAAAATTACAGAACACTACTAAGTTATCTACCGAAAAGGAAGAAAAAGTGATCTTTATAAATTAATATTTGCAGGGCATGGTGGCTCAGGCCTATAGTCCCAGCACTTTGGGAGGTGGAGGCGAGAGGATTACCTGACCTCATGGATTTGAGATGAGCTCAGGCAATGTGGTGAGACTTTGTCTCTACAATAAATCAAAAAATTAGCTAGGCGTAGTGATGCATGCCTGTAGTTCCAGCTGCTTGGAAGGCTGAGGCAAAAAGATTGTTTGAGCCCAGCAGGTCAAGTCTGAGGTGGCCATGAGCATGCTACTGCACTCCAGCCTGGGTGACAAAGTAAAACTCTGACATGAATGAATGAATGAATGAATGAATGAATAAGTATTTAAGGCTAAATGCCAAGAACTAAAGTATTTTTATACCAAAAATTACCCCATATTCAGTATGGGTCATTTCTTCTGGTTACAAGGATGTTATACTCATATAAACCGTAAGTCAAAATGCTCTTGCAGTGCTGGATAGTGCAAAGCATTTTACCTCTTAAGCAAACTCTACTCATGTGCATAATGAAGAATAAGCATAAGTCCGGACAAGATAATCAATCGAAAATGAATATAAAACCAATGATAGACTGTAAGAAGACAGGACACAGAAGGAAGTAATGCTACACTGTTGAAAGTTACGATGAGGACTCCTGGATGGAAAGGTTTTTAAAACCAGTGGGGACTAGTTTAGAAAATGTTTCCTGTATGTATAAATGGATAAATGATATATGCTCCCTGATGGGTGACTTAATTAACAATCTATGAAAACAGTAACAATACGAAAAATAGCTAACACATATTATAGCAGCTATGCTAAGCTAGACATTCCAAGCATTTTGTATACATGAACTCATTTTTATTCCCAACAATTCTATGAGATATAGCTACTGGCATTGTTCTCAGATAAGAAAACTGAGGCTTAGGGAGGTTAAGTAACTTGCTCAAGGTCACAGTTTAAGGAGCAGAGTCAGGATTCAAGCCCAGCTATTACAATTCTCTATACAGTCTGTGCTCTTAATTATTAAAGCTAAATACAGTAAATAATTTATTTACTTACTTTAAGTTTTCCTTTGTTAAATGCACAAACTGAGACCTGATAGGCAGAATGCCCCATATCAATAAACACGACATTTCTTGGTTTCTCATCTAGCGAGGGAAGATCCTGTTTATAAATTCCATATGCTAGTGCAACTATACAGAAACAAAGAATCAGGTTAGTTCTAACATTGGCAGTCCATAGAAAACAAAAGATGCATTACTTGGATGCTGTAATACATAGTACAGTAAGTTTCAGAGTAAATGAACTTTTCATAATTTGCCTAACAATGTTTTGATTTTATTTCTTCCCTACTCATCTATAACTCTGTAAGAGCAAAAATCCTTAAAGCCAATAAGACATATTCAACCTTTGTCAAAAAGTTGTACTCAAAGAAGCTTGTAAGAACTAATATATAATAGAGTTAAAAAATAAATGCTTTGTTATTAGAAGAAAACTACAGCAGTATTTTCTGACAGTGCTTTTCAAACTGCAGAGTGCTTACCTGCAGTAGTTTCGTTCATCAGCCTTAAACAGTTTAAGCCTGCAACCTGGGCTGCAGCCAAAACAGATCTTCTCTCAGCATCAGTGAAAAAGCTAGGTATCTGCATTTAAAAACAATAATCAGGCATGCTGCTTGATATAACAGACTTGATTTAAACATTTCATCAACTGAAAAATGTAAAATATTACACTGGAACTAAGTACAGTTTAAGGCAAAGTGATGCTCTAATTAAACAAATGAGAAAAAAATACTAGCTTTTTTTAAGTTGGACGATTGCTTTCTTTCTATTTTTTTTTTAATTAGAGACAGGGCTTGCTATGTTGTCCAGGCTTGTCTCGAACTCCAGGGTTCAAGCGATCCTCCTGTCTCGGTCTCCCAAAGTGCTGAGGGTACAGACGTGAGTCACCGCACTTGGCCTAAATTGGACAATTTCTATACCATAAAGATTTGACCTACAGTACAAACACTAATGTAAAGTAAAATGGCAGGACTGTCAAAGTTCTGTAAATCTAAGCACTTCTTGTGTTAGTCTGATCTATTAAAAAATAAATTTGCTCATCTTTAACAATAAAAAAGTTGAAAGCCCAAGAGTTGGTTAAAATGAGAGTAAATACATGATGGCATATCCATATTAATGAAATCCCAGGTAGCTGCTAGAAGGAATCAAGTAGATTTGAATTGTTATGCAACATTATATTATGTTTTCAAAAGGGCACGTACAGCATGATTTTACGTGTGTGTATATATACAACCAGAAGAATAGAATCCCAACTGTTTAATATTGTTATATTTTGGGGGGGGACTATATTGCAGGGAACTTGTGAACATGTATTTCTTTAAATCATCAAAACACATTAAATACTCTATTTAAAAATTAAATGAACTTCTCAGCATGTAATCCCAGCACTTTGGGAGGCCAAGGCAGGTGGACTGTCTGAGTCCGTGGGTTTGAGACCAGCCCAGGCAACTTGGTGAGATTTTCTCTCTACAATAAATAAAAAATTAGCCAGGCGTGGTGGCGTGCATCTGTAGTTCCGGCTACTAAGGCTGAGGCGGAAGGGTCTCCAATGCCCATCAGGTCAATGTGGGGTGGCCGTGAGTGTGCCACGGCACTCCAGCCTGGGCAAGAGTGAGACTCCAACTCGAAAAACAAAACAAAACAAAAAATACAAAATTAAATAAACTCTCATGATAAAAACTTATAAAGATTTATACATATATCTCAGCTCTGTCAAACTAAGAAGCACTTTGGGCATATAGACAGATTTCCAAAAAGCTAATTTTTAAGTTTTAAATAAGCAGGTTCCTCTAATTTTATTGTTTTTTTTTTTAAATTTAGGAACTTCATTTAACAAGAAAAGAGCCTAAATTTTGCTAGAGATAGACTTGTCTATCCTGATGTTGTATTATCTTCCGATAAAATCTAAATTATAATGTGTGGTTCATGTAATATTCATCGAGCACTGATATACCAGGTACTTTTCTAGATTTTAGGGATACAATGCACAAAACAGACACAGCACTTGCCCTTGTGGAGCTCACGGCGAGTCTACTGCACCCACAAAATCAGTAATGGTCAAAAGTTTGTCGTGCTCCAGGCATGAGAACTGGTCTTTTTTGTTTTTCCCTGACATAGAATATATATAACCTCTGATTCCCAAGTGGAAATTTTCAACCTTTCCCATAAAACGCTAAGGTCCTTATGTGTGGGAAGTTAACTGATACCTGAGAAAATTCTTAGGGATTAGTGATAGGTACAAGAGCCACCAATCACATGCATTCGTTTTTTAAGATTCACTGAACAAGGCTGAGCATGGTGGCTCATACCCATAATCCCAGTACTTTGGGAGGCCAAAGCAGGAAAACTGCTTGAGCCCAGGAGTTTGAGCCTCAGCAACACAGCGAGACCTTGTCTTTACAAAAAATAAAAAATTAGCTGGGCGTGGTGGCATACACCTGTAGTCCCAGCTACTTGGGAGGCTGATTGGAGGCTGCAGTGAGCTATGATCACGCCACTGTACTTCAGCTTGCGTGACAGAGCAAGACCCCAACTCAAAAAAAAAAAAATTCACTGACTTTACTGGAAATTCAATACTAAACTTTACCAAATATGGTAATTTTTTAAAAAGGTCAAAATGGATTTTGGTTATTCACTGGATAAGGGCAGAAAGCATAAAAGGAAGAAAAATATTTTAACTGAAATAAATAATTTAAGAGTATTCATTTCTGAAGTAAAACTTACGGAAATCACACAATCGGCTACTGGTTTCTTCAAAGCATTTTCTGATGTCTCTTTAAGCTTAGCCAACAGCATTCCAGTAACTTGCTCAATTGCAAAAGGTCTCTCTTCTTCCAGGTACCGCACCTAAAACCAAAAGTGGAGAAATAAGAGTCATTCATTTACCCAACAAATATTTAGTGAGCACCTGCTATACACATGATAGATACACACAACAGAAAAAGGACAAAGTCCTTGCTCAGGGAAATTTTATTTCAGAATGACTGTGATTCTTCTAAGAATCACAATCTCATTAAAACCAGTGACAATGTTTCTCATTTCTGAGGTTCTAGTACCTTACACACAGTATTGTAACCAAGCAAAGTATTTTCAAAAGTGTAATCTAAATTCTCTCAGATCTCTGCCTCCCACAAAAATAATTTTTATCATTTTTCCAAGTGTGACACAGCAAACAGTGAATGTAAAGATCAAACAATCTTTCTTTCAAAAGTTAAAATTCTCCCTGGGCTTAAAATGAAAGTTTTAGTTATACAGTTTTAAGAAAAGGAAGTGAGAGCATAAGAAGGAAATAAAATTTTCTTATCAAAAAAGGGGAAATCTAATACGCATCACTCCAAGGTTTCTGGAGATACCTGTGAATTAAACAAAAAATATATATATTTAATTAAAAAATTATTTTTTTAACAAGATAACTGCATCATCTTATACGCAGGTTTAGGACTGGCTTGCATTTAGACACTTAACATAAAACTTTACAGTGCTTCTTGACCAAGGAATATTGGGTAACTGTGCTTTATTCAAGTAATCAAACCTTTTTATTATGACAACCACAACATTTACAAGCAATACAAAGCTACTTTAGAAACAAAATAATAAATCTCTATTTAATTCACTTTATATTTGAGGCAATGTCTTTATCTCTGGATGCCATGAGATGAGTAATTTTACCCTACAACATTAACCTTTGAAGAGCTTGAAGAACAAGTTTTTCAAACAGCTCAAAGTAGTATTCATGTAGATGAGTATGTATAAGTATGTGTGTGTGTGTGTATATATATTTATTTATTTTAAAGTATGTATATTAAATGATATAAGATTTACTTTGAATCAGACCTACAACTGACAACCATTTTTCCCAAATCTGTTTATAAGTAAGCCCAAAAACAGTTATTATGTCAAATCACTGCCTTTAAACAAGGGAGTGGGAGAAGCACACTGAAATAAGGAAATGAATCAAACACCATGGTCTTACTCTGGCTACGGGCGGCACAATAATAAACATCATTCTTCTGTAAAGAATATTCAGAAAGTCAGACGAAGTAAATATCAAAGTTTACTTCAGAGAAATGCATAAAATAAATAAAACGTTTGAGGAGTTGTACTCTGACAACCATCTTGTCTTCAAAAGATGAAGACACAGTTCAACTCAGGGGCCGACTCATATTTCCAAAGCCTTTCAACTAGCTTGCAGGTACTCACTAGAAATGCACACAAATAATACCACTCAAACACCTGGTGCTGGGTTTCTTTAAAAACAACATTCCATTTCCCTCAGTCTATTCCCAAAGCATGATCTATTAATTTCCATTTTAAAGAATAAAAGCCAAAGAATTTAAGTTGTGCAAGTTTCAAACTGGAGTAAATAAAGCTGCTCCAGGTCATCACCAGAGGGCCTCCAGTCTAAAAGAAGTCTGAATGTTATCACCTCAGGTGTTGCTACCATCACCTGCCCAGCTTCCCTGTTAGCAACCTGAAAATTTCACCTAAGATCTGGTCTCACAATTTGTTTCCTCATCTTTAACCTCTTGTGTGGTCTTCCCTGAACTATTTTAACAGCCTTCTGTCTCCTTACTACAAGTCACAAACTACCTTTCAGTCAGAACTCTCTTCTAACAATAGAAAACTTATACATATTCATAACACAAGTTTATTTTAGTTTAGTTTGGAGTCAGAGTATCACTCTGTCGCCCATGCTGGAGTGCAGTGGTGCCATTATGGCTTACCGCAGCCTTAACCTCCTGGGCTCAGGTGATTCTTCCTCCTCAGCCTCCCAAGCTGAGAATACAGGCTCATGCCACCAGGTTTGGCTAATGTTTTGATTTTTTTTGTAGAGACAAGGTTTCACTATGTTGCCCAGGCTGATTCTCCCACCTCAGCCTTCCAAAGTGATGGGATTACAGGCATGAGCCACCATGCCTGGGCTACATATCAAGTTTAAAAATAGTTATTAAAAATAGCCTTCAGAAATATAATTAACATAGCATATAGTTCATTCTTCTGAGGTATACAATTCAGTGGTTTTCAGTACATTCACAATGTGTAATAAGCCCACTATCTAATTGTAGACCATTTCCATCACCCAAAAAGAAACCCTGTAGCCACTGGCAGTCACACTCCATTTTCCCTTTCCCTTAATCCTTAGCAACCACTAATCTGCTTTGTTTCTATGGATTTGCCCTATGCTGGACATTCTATGTAAATGGAATAACACAGTACGTGACCTTTTGTATCTGGCTTCTTTCACTTAGCATGTTTTCAAGGTTCATACAGGTTGTAGCACGTATTAGTACTTCATTCCTTTTTTCCAAATACTATTCCACTGTACAGACACACCTTATTTTGTTTACTCGTCAGTTGATGAGCAATTGGACTGTTTCTACTTTTTGACTATTATGAATAATGCTGTTATGAACACTCATGTACAAGTTCTTTTGTCAATATGTTTCCACTCTTCTTGGGTATATAATCCCAAGTAGAATTCCTGGGTCATATAGTAACTGAATATGTTCTGAGGTATTCTGCTGCTTTCTGAAACATCAACACAAACATATTTTTGTTAACCAACCTATAACTTACTGTCTCAGAATATAAAATTAAAAATCCAGAATCCACCTCTTCTTACTTGAAAGAAACGTTTGCTTTACTACTCCTCATATGGTATACAAGTCTTCTAATTCTTTTTTTTTTTTTTTTTTTGAGTTGGAGTCTCACTGTGTCACCCAGACTGGAGTGCAGTGGCCGCTCCCGGCCACTGCAGCGTTGACCTGCTGGGCTCAGGCCTTAGCCTTCCAAGTAGCTGGAACTACAGGTGCCTGGCTAATTTTTTGATTTATTGTAGAGATGAGGTCTCAACAAGTTGCCCAGGCAGGTCTCGAACCCGCAGGCTCAGGCAATTCACTCACCTCGGCCTCCCAAGGCATGGGATTACAGGCTGAGCCACCGAGCCCGGCTAAGTCTTCTAATTCTAACCCTTGGGACGCAGACTGCTGGTGATTGATTATACAGGACAAACTTATGCCAGCACAGATTTTTCCAAAAAGTATGTTTCCTTAAAGTTTGCCATTCAAATTGCCTGAAAAAGCAAATAAAGAGATGGACCATGTACTGAGACATGACTGGTCAGTGGAGAAGTGGTCGCTAGGAACCCTGAGTGAGCTCTTCCACATCATCGTGGGACAACAGACTGGACGGTAAATGACACAGTTCACGTGGGAGGAAGGAACTGAGGCCGCACTGTCTGGTCCAACAGGAAAATACCAGGCCGGAGATGCCCCACAGATTACTGATACAGAGCACATCAATGACCCTGCAGTGCATGTTGGTGACTGTTTCACATGCTACCACATATTAGAAAAATATATAACATAAAATTTTGATCTTTTTGTCATAAATGAATTCCTCCATGTCTAAATTTTCATTATAAGCCAAATATCACTACAATAAAGTAAGCGGTTCCAATGCTATACTATTTAATATGAAGTGATTTGTTTTCACTCTTTCATAAAAAAGTGTGGTTGAGTTGCTGGTACGTGATCTGTGCGATGTCTCTGAGAGCAAAGGGTTAAACTAGAAAAAACTCATTAAAGCAACTAACATACTTTGGGTCTTTTCTTCTAAATCACATATGCCGCTGTATCCCCTTAAAACTGTTAATCTCTTTGAGTCCTCCAAATAACAATCATCTTTTACCCTGACAATAAAAAATAATTTGAATTAAAAAGATGAACTAAATTAGAATTTTTTGGCATTCACTAAAATTGTTACAAAAACTGTCTATCTGCCGGGCATCTACAGGTGGCTCAGCCTGTAATCCCGCACTCTGGGAGGCCGAGGTGAGTGGATTGCCTGAGTCCGTGGGTTTGAGACCCGCCTGGGCAACTTGGTGAGACCTCATCTCTACAATAAAATCAAAAAATTAGCCGGGTGTGGTAGCGCGCGCCTGTAGTTCCAGCTACTTGGAAGGCTGAGGCGGAAGGATCGTCAGAGCCCAGCAGGTTGAGGCTGCGGTGGCTGGGAGCGGCCATTGCACTCCAGTCTGGGCGACAGAATGAGACTCCAACTCCAAAAAAAACAAAAAACAAAACTGTCTCTCTTAGTTGTGTATGTAAAGTACCCAGAAGAAAAACGCTAAATTACCAATAGCAATATTATCATACTTGGTTTAATTTGAACATGTGTTTGTAACTCAGGAATATAAAGCTTACCTTAACTCCTGCACTTCCATTGGGCATCTTTTGCAGTTCATAGGGAAGTCTGATCCTTTCAGTTTGCACAATGGGATCATCAAAAGATCGCCCATGAAGCTTTTTGAAGCCATGAATTGTATTTCTCACATTCGTGATTATCTGTTGGCAGTAAACACTTGTATTTATCAATTACTTAATGAAGGCAAAATTAAATTTATTAACCTAATATTTGAGAACCACCACCAAGTCCCTTTATCCTATACATCCAAGTTCAGAGTTATACACAACCATTAATTTTTTTGGTTTCCAACTGATTATAAAAGTTACACAATGCGAATGCATGCATCTTAACAATGTTTCCCCAATTCTCCTATCTGAGGAATGTTAGGTTCAAAATTGGTATCTTTAAAAGAGAAAGAACAGGCCGGGCATGGTGGCTCAGCCTGTAATCCCAGCACTTAAGGGAGCCAAGGCAAGAGGACTGCCTGAGCCCAGGAGTTTGAGACCAGCCTGGGCAACATGGTGAGACCTCATATCTCTACACTAAATCACAAAAACTAGCTGGGTGTGGTGGCATGCTTCAGTACTTCCAGCAACTTGGAAGACTGAGGTGGAAGGACTGCCCGAACCCAGCAAGTCGAAGCTGCAGTGGCCATGAGCATGCCACTGCACGCCAGCCTGGGTGTGAGACTCCAACTCAAAAAAAAAAAAAAGATAAATAAAATTAAAAAAGAGAAAGAACAAAACTTAAAAACTTTTCAAACAATATAATAAGAATTTATCTGCAACTCAGGTTGAGCATCCCAAATCCAAGAATCTGAAATCCAGAATACTCCAATGAACATTTCCTTCAGATTCAGGATTTAATGGTCAACTCGTATAATGCAGATATTCCAAAATGCAAAAAACTTTAGTATCTGAAACACTTCTGGTTCCAGTCATTTCAGATAAGAGACATTCGACCTGTGTCTTGGCTTTCTCTCATATCTCTGCATTCCCATTTCTGTTGTCAAGTTGCCCTTTCCCTTTCAACATCTAATCACTTGGGAAATTTCCCATGTACCAGTCTGCAGCTTGCACTGCCAAGGATTGTTCCCGAGCTCGTAAATTAAATCCACTTCCACGAAGCATGGTGCAAAGTCAAAGTGGCTGAATTTATAAATGCCTTACATTTTGGCAAAGCAAGTTTTTCTTTAACTAGAACATGCAGCTGAAACAATAGAATACTACCGATATCCGAGGTGCTGCCCTACTAGTGACCTTTAAAGCCAAATAGACCTTTATCCTCACTATGAGATGAAAACTACAGGAATTATCGTGTTGGTCTCTTCAGCTTCTTAGGAGAAATGACTTTATAGGTTGCTTTTAGAGACCCTGTTTATGTATGACACACTCAGAAACTCAGTCAGAATGTGAGATACAAACTTAGGTGAAAGGGCTACTTTTAGCACAAACCCAACATCTGTTTATATTTAGTATGAAAATAAAGGATAAAAACAAATTAATCTATAAGGTAATTATAAAAGACAGACGATAAAAATCGTAAGCAAAAATTCCTGGATTAATGAGTCAATTATTCCTACAAAGTCACGAAAAAAGAACCCCATTAAAGAAAGTTATTTTCGGCCAGGAATGATAGCACATGCCTGTAGTTCCAGCTACTTGGAAGGCTGAGATGGACGGGTCACCTGAGCCTAGCAGGCCGAGGCTGCGGTGGCCGTGAGCATACCACTGCCCTCCAGCCTGGATGACAGAGTGAGACTCCGACTCCAAAGAAAAAAAAGTAAGTTATTTCATAAGGAAGAAAAAATACCCAGGTGTACATAAAATGTAAGAAATAACTGCTGAGGACTTATGGTTCAGGGAAGTCAAGTCTAAGGAAAATCAACCTAGAGCACAAACCTCTAAAAGTTTCAAAGCCTAGAAGTAGAAATACTTCATCAGATCCCATGTAAAGGAGTGGTAGCCACGCTGAGTTACTCTGGAAATTAGTTCCTCCATTTTTCCGACCTTATTTCGCAAAGACATTGCTTACTTGTCATTCAAATGTATGTTCTAGATAGAATATCTCTGATACAAAGTGTTTAGGGAAAAACTGATGCCACATTATAGCACACCCTAACTTCACCACTAAAAAAGATTTTAAAAAATACAATTCAAGAAGTATCTTACAACCCAAAGCAAATAATATCTAATAAAATACAATGATGTTAGGGTCTGCCATATTTCCTCACTCTCTTTTTTCACTCTTACCTATTTAACATGTACCATGGGACCTTAATTATCAAGATACAGTCAAGCCGGGCTCGGTGGCTCAGACTGTAATCCCGCGCCTTTGGGAGGATGAGGTGAGAGGACTGCCTGAGCCCGCGGGTTTGAGACCCGCCTGGGCAACTTGGCAAGACCTCATCTCTACATAAATCAAAAATTAGCCGGGTGTGGTAGTGCGAGCCTGTAGTTCCAGCTACTTGGAAGGCTGAGGCGGGAGGATCGCTGGAACCCAGTAGGTCGAGGCTGCGGTGGCCGGGAGCGGCCGCTGCACTCCAGTCTGGGCGACAGAGTGAGACTCCAACTCAAGGAAAAAAAAAAAGATACAGTCAATTTTTCCTATAAATCAAAACATTTATATTAACAATTCACCTGGCTCTTTGCTGCATTTCCAATGGCTCGAGTTCTTGTTCCCAGAGATATACAGGCCCTAAACAGGAAAAACAGAAAAGTTTGTTCCCAGGCCATTTTTCTATTAATGTGCTATTATTTAGCTTCTCCTTATATAAAAATGAATTTTAAAGGATTAATATATACTATTGTAAAGATAGGTTATGCAAATAAATATTTAAAAACTTTTCTAAATAATAAACAGTGGGTCAGAATAAATGTAAGAATTTTTTTTTTTAAAGTCCCTATAGCTGGCAATACAATATTGGTCCCCAACTGGTTTTCAAATTCTACTGGTTACGACCTACTTTAAAAAAATAAAATAAATAAAAAAGCAAAACTATATTGACCAGTGGATTTCCAGGGAAGGCAAATATTTGAAGAGTTTTTTTTAGTACATTTACGCAGTTACTTGAATTCAAATTCTGGCTCTGCTATTGAACTTTGTGGAAGTTACGTAACCATTATTTGTCTCAACTGTCCATCTGGAAGACAGTGAGGAAAATACCTGCTCATAGGGTTATGTGAGAATAAGAGAGTAGATATAGGTAAATGCTGTGAACAATACCTGGCACATAACAAATAAATTATGATATTTTAATTACCACACTCAAATGTAATATAAAAGCTAGTGCAGAACAACATTTTCATCAAAAATGCCATTTTATAATTGGAGAAAATGTTTCCATGACTTCAGTGATGACTACAGGAAACTACATTGAGTCAACACACACTTACAGGCACTATGTGTATACAACCCACAGCCCGCGTCCTTGGAGAATCTGTAGTCTACCGGGGGGTGGGGGGAGAGGATTCAACAAATAAAACATATAGGGTTATGAACGACAGTAGCAAAAGGGGAGAATATTCACTTCTAGGTAACAAGTGGTTTCTGAGTTAAGGCTTGAAAGCAGAGAAAGCATTTCATATGTATTTGTCTTACGGAAAAGGACACTGTGGTATATGAATCTATTCTCAGTATACGATATATTCTCAATATAAAGTGGTCCACTCAGAGACTGAGATCCTGAAACTCACATGTTGTAAGCCCTCCAATGGTGCCCTGCCTCATGAGGTATAAGCTAAGTTCCCCCAACAGCCAACAAGCCCTTCATGGTCTGGTCTACCCTGCACATTCTAGGCACGCTGGTCACCTTGCTGTTTCTACAGCATGCCCAGCATACTTCTGTCTCCGGGCCTTGTTCACGCTGTTCCTTCTTCCTGAAGTGTCAGGAATGACACCCATATGGCCCATGCTCTCACGTCCTCCAGGTCTCTGTTCAAAAGTCACCTTGTCTGAGACACTTAACCCTGCTCCTCCCCAACACACACCTCCAACTGTTTATCCAATTTTTTTTTCTCTATAGCATGTGTCACCATCTGATACAATGTATTTACTGAATGTATCCCCTTACCTGAATGTGAGCTCCCTGAGAGCAAGATACTGCAAACCTACTGCCTTGGTCCAAGGGTGGGGGGGGGAATGGCTACCCAATATGGTAGTCACAAGCCATGTGTAGCCAGCAAAATTTAAAGGAACTAAAATAAAACACTCAGCGCCTCAGGACTAGTCACATTTCGGTGCTCAATAGCCACAAGGAGGTAGGGGGTAGAAGGCAGACAGAAAACAATATACATAGAACAGAACAGACAGGAAACAGAAAGCTCTGTCGAACAGCACAAGCCTAGAGGACAGGCCGGTACCCAGTAAAGGCACTCATTGAACAGAATGGTGGCTCCTAGGAGGGAAGCTTTTTTGGAGATCAGGAAGAATACAGCCTGGCTAGACTCACAGGACAGTTTAATAGGAGAGTATCAAGGCCAGATTACACATGGCAGATCACAATTCTGAAATTTAGTCAGTCGTAATGGGAATTCACTAAAGGTTCTAGATACCAGAGAAGTCACTGCATACTGATATATACAGTGCAAACTAGGCAATAATACTCCAGAGCAGTGCTTTTTACGGGCTACCCAAGTCACTGCTGAGGACCAATGGTTTTCCAGGGAGAGCAAACAATTAAAAAGTTCATCTAGTCAATCTAACAGATGTTGGTTGAACAATTACGACATGCCTGGTACCCTGTTAGTTGCCAGGGATACAACAGTGAAAGATGATGACATGACTTTGGCTCTCTTGGGTCTAACAAGGTACAGACTCCCACAAAAGAAAGTAAACTGGGTGCTGTCACAGGAAGAACACGGTGCTATACAAGCAGGTGACCGCAGGCACTGACCCAGAGAAGGACCGGTAAAGGCTTCCCTGAGGAGGTGAAGAGACCTGAAGGAAGAGTCAAGGACGATGGGATAAGGTGGCAGAGAGAATTTAGACTTGAGTGAGCTGAGGAGAGAGAGCAAGAGGCGCAAGGAGGCAGCATTAGGAGGGGGCGGCTGAGGCAGGAGGAGGGAGAGGAAACACAACGGACGGCGGCAGATGATGTCAACACTGTCCCAAGGGCAGCCATGGCGCTTCAGCCCATGAAGTGTGGCTCCTCCAGACTGAGACATGCTCACTTACAGGTGTACAATAAACCCTACATGTTGAAATTAAAATATAAAAGAACTGAAGTATCGCAACTTTTAAGTATTGATCACATGCTGAGGTAAGCTTTTCGATACAAATACAAGACATTAAAATCAGTATATTTGTCTTTTTGTCCTTGTAATACAGCAACCAGAACATGGAGGATTACGTATGTGCCTCACATACTTTTTCTGGGCAGATCTGGACTAGATGGTGGAGAAATAAGTGACAAAATAATGCCCAACTTGCATGAGTGGTCAAGGAGACAGGCAGTGATGTAAGGGGGACAGGTATGGGGTCAGACAGTCTTGAGTACCATTCTGGACATGCCGCGTTTGAGTATCTCTGAGACATCCATGCAGACATCCAAGCAGATGTCAAAAGCGATGGCTAGATGAAGGAGGGAAGGGAAGTCGTCCTTCTCCAGTGAAAAACAGGAAAATGAGGCTGCAGCAGGAATCAGCGGCTCAGAGGGCATCTCAGCCACTCGAACACTGCTGTCTTGGGCATGCTCTCCTGCCAGAGTGAAAACCTGCACACGCAAGGTGGGGATCCGTGGGGAGGGCTGGCATTCTGCCCTCAAACTCACTCCCCAGGGGAAACATGGACTTGCCCCCTCTCCGCCTTCCTCACAATTGTCTTGCTCCCCACTCCATTTTTGGGACACACTTCCAAGTACTTCTAGTTTTTCAATACTGGGCTACCAGCACTGGAGTGCACTGAAAGATCATACTCTTAGCTCGATGTTCAAGTTTAATTTCTGTTAGAACAGTATTCAGCTAACATTTAGACTGAATGTTAGGTTCTTTGAAATAGGTTTCACACATATACAAGAGGGCCCCCCCCCCCCGCCAAAAAAACCCTGCAATTAGTTTTGGAAGGGCAGGTCGCTTGTCACACAGGCTTTCCCGCTAGGTAAGTGTTCTAGGAACCCGTTGGCATCAGTGGACCAGCTGGCGAGGCTGTGAGAGGCTGCATCTGGCTCCAGGGAATTTTTTTTTGGTGATTCTTTTGATGCACTTGCCCGTTTCACAACGGGTGATTGAGCCCACGCTGAGCTGAGTGTTCAGCAAATGTTTTGGTTGTTTATTTTTACCAACAGTGGCATGAGCCCCGTGCCCCACCCTCCTATTCACCCAATCTTGCCCTGAGTGATTTTGCTTCCCCGATGAAAAAAGTCCTCAAGGGCAAATGTGCAGAGGTGAAACAAAAAATGGCAGAAGTGTTAAAAGGCATCAGAATTGATGAGTTTAAAGATTGTTTTGAGCAGTGCAAAAAGTGACTTGATAGGTGTATTGCATCAGAGTCCTTAAACATGTAAGAATAAATACACAATTTTTAAATAAATAAATTCCGGTTTATTGGGGTTCCCCTCATAACACCTTACAAAGAAAGCTAAATAGTGACCATCATCAGATAGTTTCTGAAGCTAAAAATAGACAACGTTTAAAGTTTAAAAAAAAAACTGTAATTTAACCAGGTCTGGAAATGCCCAGTTTCAAATACACACACACACACACACACACACACACACACACACAAACCCACTTCACAGAGCTAAAAGTCTTCACACTCCTTCACTTTTCTTTGAAGAAAATTTTAAAATGTTACAACCATTAAGTAAAAAATATCTGCCAAGGATTTTCAGAAAAATCCAAATAAACCAACACCTATTCGCTCTCAAAACTAAGCCAGGTATTTCCTAATTTTATAACATATAGCAGGCTGATACAAAAGCTTTTACAAAAAAGGATAGAGTTTATCCAAATGTATACAGCACGATCTACGTCATACTTTGTATAGGTTTCAAATATTCAGACATTCCATTTTGTACCTAAAAAAAGCGAGAGTTAACAACGCAGCTTAAATCTGTGGTATCTAATCTGCTGTTGCCAACACTGTGGAAATCCCAGATTCTCAATCCCAGACAAAGCTAAACAAAAAAGATTTCAACATGTCTTATGCTCCTTTTCGTAGGGGAGGTGCAAAAAAAAAAATGACAGGATGTTACTTCAAGAAAGTTGCATCTGCATTTCCCCTCAAAATGTAAGCTCTTTTTCCTCTCCTGCAAAGTTTATTTTCACAAGGCCAGGCGTGATCAGGCTGGAGAACACACAATGCAGCTAGAAGCCTAAGAGATGTCTTGCCTCAGGTCAGCACACTCCAAATGTGTTTGCTCCTCCTTTTCAAAACCTGTGATTCTGCCACTTAAGCTTTAAAAATAGCCCGGTTTTTTTCTTTCGGCTTTCCCTTGCCAGTTCCATAAGATCACAAATACTATGCTTACCCCTGCTATCATTGACAGATGCTAATAATAGCTAGATCAATGATGCTACACGAGTGCAATCCATAGGTCTGAATCAAGGGCTGAGCAGCGGGTTTCAGCCACCGTCGCGAGATTTCCACAGAGCAGCATCTCTCCCCGGGGCCACCTGACCTGGGGCGATGAGGGAGGGCGGGGCAGACCCTCCAGCGCTGCAGGACACCAGGAGCAGCCCCAGCCTCTCGCCACCAGACGCCAGGAGTGCCCA